GAATTCCAAAAAACCAAACTGGGCTTTATAACTGTGTTACAAGGTATGTGTATTGTGGTGTGTGAAATCTGAGTTTTGCTTTGTTAAATGTGGTGACAGAATTGGATTAAAAGTTTCTGTTTTCTCTTTTTTTTCATTATATAGAATGTAGTAATTATGTATACAGTTAGTTCTCCTGGAAATTAAATACATTATCAGGAAGGCAGTTTTTAATGTGTCTGCATTTAGACTTTTTGTTTGATCAATCAAGGGACAGATAGATCCAGAGACTTCTCAGGTGAATCAAAAATCTTCCTTTCTCACTGGCTAAAAAAGTATCTGCAGCATATTCATTCTTAGCTGAGGTGTTTACCTTCTTTAAAAAGCCATTAAATTAAGCAGTAGTAATTGTTATTTCAACAAAAAATTTTGGATAGGATGTAGGATATCCTTCAATGGACAATATGTTTGATTATCATTAAATTATTTCATAAGTTTACATCTATTACAGTAAAATCATTGATGCTTACACATAAAACCAGAACAAAAATAAGAATTTAAAAAGAAGGTCAATTACATAAGCCAAGACCACACATCTGTTGAATGCCTCACCACAATGACACAAGATTTTGATGTTTTCTTTTACATTATTGTGGACAAAAGTATCTCTTTTTTTCTTATTCTCTTCTGGCTTGCTTTATTATTTTTTTATCAAAAACAGCTACTTCTAAGGGACAGTTTTTCCCCTGTTTTGAACAGGTAGGGTGAGACTAGAAGGATCGCACTGTGGATGCATCTATTTCTCTCTTTTGACAATAAGGGAAGGTTTAGGAATTGTGAAAGTTGTGGACAACAACCTGGAAAGGCTTTGAGTGATACTTGACCTGACTGCCTAAACCTGAGCTCTCTGCACACAAAACTCCCCAGGAAAACTCACCAAAATATTTAATGAGCAAGGTTATGCAAAGAGAAATTCTTTCTCCAAATTTATTTCCCTTTCTAAGACTTGTGGGTAAATAAGAACAAAGGATTAAATAGAACAAAGGATTAAATATATTAAATACCTTCTGAGGGTACCTAGAGGTGAGGCCACATTTCAAGGACCCCGGAGGGATAGCTGGAGAAATTGTTAAAAATTAATTCAATGGTTTTAAAATATTAAGTATATGCTGGTTAAGAAAAATTATCTAATGGGAATGACAGCAAAGCAAATAAAATACCATTTCTGTCACTCAGCTTTTAAAAAAATAATAGACTTGAAATTTTTTTAAACAATTATCTAAATGAATACATTTCTTGGCTCATATATTTACAATTGTTTTGCATCACCTGAAGCAGCATTTTTCCTGTTCTTTTGTTTAGGGGAGAGCAATCTTGTGGGTTAGTTGCAATCTTAGGGTGAGATTATTTTCTGCCAGTTAAATCTGAAATAGGTCTTCAACTGTAGGATGAAATGTCTGTTTCTAGTTGGTTGTGAAGTTTATTAAATTAAAATTGGTTGGATAAACTGCATGCTGAATGTTTCTTTATACTGAAAATAATATTACATGATTATTAGCTTACAAATTACCCTATAGTAGTTGACAAAAATCGGCAGATATGATATATAATTAATTTTATAATTTTTCCATATATCTATTTAATTTTATTAATTAATAATTATTTTATAATAATATAAATACAATCAATATATTATTGATTATATGTCATATATAGCATATATTACATAATATATACTCTATATAGTATTATAGTCATAATAATATTTATATTTATTGTTTTATTAATAATATTTATTAGTCATAATAATACTTATATTAATATATTTATATATTTAATTAATTATATATAATATTAGAATTTATTTTATTCTTAATTATTATTTACAATATATTAATATTTTAAAATATTTTGTGTTATTTATATTATTTTATATAATTAATGCATATAATTTACAATTAATTTTATTAATTATATATTTCTTATGTTTCATATATCTCATTGTTTGTCTTATTCTTCCATAATTGCTTCTCCAGGCAAAATATTTGCAATCTACTGCATCCTAATTTCCTTTTGGAAAGCCAAGATGGAAAACCACACCATAAGTGAGTTCATTTTGGTGGGGTTCAAATCCCACCCAGGATCCCAAGTCCTTCTCTCAGTTCTCTTCTCCACAATGTACTTTGTCACTGTGGTGGGAAACATCTGCATGATCCTCATCATCAGGATGGAGCCCAAGCTGCACACCCCAATGTACTTCTTCCTGGGGAACCTGTCCACCTTGGACATCTGCTATTCCTCTGCCATCACTCCCAGGGCAGCCCTGGCATTCTTGCTGGGCAGAAGGAGCATTTCCTATGCTGGCTGTGCTTCCCAAATGTTCTTCTTCTCTCTCTTTGGCACAACAGAAGCTTTCTTCCTGGCTGTGATGGCTTATGATCGCTTCACTGCCATCTGCAACCCGCTGCTCTACCAGGTGGTTATGAGCAGAAGGCTTTGTGTGCTCATGGTGGTGGGCTCCTATCTGTCAGGCTGCATCAACTGCACCATCCAGACAGGCTTCACCTTCAGCCTGTCCTTCTGTGGGCACAGAGAAATCAAGCACTTCTTCTGTGAAGTTGCTGCAGTGATCCACGCCTCCTGCTCCAACACCCTTGTCAACCAGCTCGTAATGCTGGCTGTGTGTGGACCAATAATTGTGGGCACTGCCCTGGTGGTTTTTGTCTCCTATGCTTATATCATCGTCACAATCATCCAAATGCCTTCAGCAGAAAGCAGGCACAAGGCCTTCTCCACCTGCTCGTCTCACATGGTGACAATCTGCTTGTTCTTTGGGACAGTGTTCTTCATGTATGCTCAGCCTGGAGCTGCATCCTCACCCAGCAAGAGCAACATCATCTCCATCCTCTACACTGTTGTTATTCCCATGCTGAACACTTTCATTTACACCCTCAGAAACAGGGAGGTAAAAGGGGCTCTGAAAAAACAGTTAAAAAGGAAAGGGTTTTTTAAGCACCATTCCTGAAGTTGAGAATGAGCACAGTGTTCAATTTGTAAAATAAAAGACATCAGGACCTGAATGTAAAATAAAGGACGGGATGTAAAATAAAGGACATCAGGACCTGCTTTCAAGAGTCTTTTGTGTTTCTAGATGGTCAGTAAAAGCAGGATATATAAACAAATCTATGATAATCTAGTGATTGTTATTTCAACTAAACAATTTTTGATAGGATGTAGGATATCCTTCAATGGGCAATATGTTTGATTTCTATGAAATGATTTCATAAGTTTACAACTATTACACTTAAATCATTGATGCCTACACATAAAACCAGAATAAAAATAAGAATTTAAAAATAAGGTCAATTAAGTAAGCCAAGACCACACATCTGTTAAATGGCTGATCACAGTGACACACAATTTTGACATTTTCTTTTACATTACTGTGAACAAAAGTATCTCTTTTTTTCCTATTTTTCTCTGGCCAGCTTTATTCCTTTTATAGAGCAGATGAAAGTGAGGTTTCATTTAACCACAACTGGACATTTACAAGCCATCTGACCTGTAAATGTAGAGGCCTCTTATAGCCATTCAAAAGATACCAGCATTTTAAAGCCATAATTAACACGATGGGTTGGAAAATTTGAAGAGTACCTAAGTGTACTGAACATGTAAAATAGGACAGAAAATTCAGATTCTGGCAGCAGAATCTGCTGCCACACCTAAGTGTACTGAACATGTGAAATAGGACACAAACAGCTTCTGGCACTTATTTCTGGAACACAGCCGGTTCAGGTGGAGGCATTCTCACTCTGCACATCCACAGCTAAATTAAGTCAGACAAGAGTGAAGCACAGAGATATGTCTTCCTGTGCAAATAACTCTTAAATCTCAAATATCCAAGCTGGCTCCTCATAGAAAACCCATTTCTTCTTTTCTTAACCACAGGACATGGCACTTTCATAGAGCTGGTGGCCAGAGGGATGAGGAGAGCTGTGGTTGCTCAGTGAAGCAAGGGAGCCGCCACTCCTGGAAGTGCCCAAAAAGAGACAGGACATGGCACTTGGTGTCATGATTTAGCTTATGGTGGTGTTCAGTCAAACACAGCAATCCCGGAGGTATTTTCCAACTTTAATGGTTCTGTGACTGAGTGACAGACTGGGGCTGGGGGAAGGATGATGGATGATGGATGATGGATGGATGGATGGATGGATGGATGGATGGATGGATGGATCATGGATGGATGGATGGATGGATGGATGGATGGATGGAGCATGGATGGATGGATGGATGGATGGATGGATGGATGATGGATGGATGGATGGATGGATGGATGGATGGATGGATGAAGCATGGATGGACGGATGGATGGATGGATGATGGATGGATGGATGGATGGATGGATGAAGCATGGATGGATGGATGGATGGATGGATGATGGATGGATGGATGGATGGATGGATGGATGAAGGATGGATAGATGGATGGATGGATGGATGGATGGATGGATGAAGCATGGATGGATGGATGGATGGATGGATGATGGATGGATGGATGGATGGATGGATGGATGAAGGATGGATAGATGGATGGATGGATGGATGGATGGATGGATGGATGAAGCATGGATGGATGGATGGATGGATGGATGAAGCATGGATGGATGGATGGATGATGGATGGATGGATGGATGGATGGATGGATGGATGGATGGATGGATGAAGCATGGATGGATGGATGGATGGATGGATGAATGGATGGATGGATGGATGGATGGATGTCCCCTCAGCACCGCTCTGCTTCGTTCCCTGAGTGTCCCCTCAGCCCCTGGGCCCAGGTGGTTCCCAAGTGTCCCCTCAGCCCCGGGCCGCTCCCCGTGTCTCCAGCCCGTTTCCAGCCCGGTTCGCCGCCCATTCCCGAGCACGGCCCCGGCGCTGGGATGCGCTGGCCCTTTAAGGGCCTCCGCGCCGCTAGGGGGCGCCGTGCGCGGTGGGGGGGCGCACGCGCTGTGGGCGCTGCTCGGCGCATGCGCGGCGCGGCAATGCGGGTGGTGGTGGGTGAGTGCGGGGCTCGTGGGAACGTGAGGGAGCGGCGGACAGAGAGAGAGCAGAGGCGAGAGAGAACACGGCCCGTGAGGGAGCCGCGGCCAGAGAGAGCGGGGCGTGGGGGTGCAGGGGCCAGAGAGAACGGGGCCCGTGAGGGAGCGGCGGACAGAGAGGGCAGGAGCCCGTGAGGGAGCGGCGGACAGAGAGAGATCGGGGCCCGTGATGGAGCGGGAACCGTGAGGGTGCGGAGTCCGTGAGGGAGCGGAGGTCTGCGGGAACGGGGCCCGTGAGTGAGGGGTGGCCTGAGAGAGCGGCGGTCTGAAGGTCTGAAGCGGGGGCCGTGAGGGAGCGAGTCCGTGAGGGAGCGGGGGCCCTGATGGAGCGGAGGCCCTGAGGAAGCGGGGCCGTGAGGGAGCTGCGGCCTCAGGGAACGGGGTCCTGAGGGTGCGGGGCCGTGAGGGAGCGGCGGACAGAGAGAGCGAGGCCCGTGGAGGTGCGGGTGCCTGTGGGAGCAGGTCCGTAAGGGAGCGGGTCCCGTGAGGGAGCGGGAGTGTTGAGCGGAACGGAGTTTTGGAGAAGGGCCAGGCGGGTCTGGGTTGTGGGTGCTGCCCGCTGGGTTGGAGCCAAGCCGCCGCTTCCTCCCCGGCTATGGGAGCTGGTCATGAGCGCGGGCGGTGCTGCGGTGATGCAGCCCCAGGCATGGGCCGCCTCTGCTGCAGAGGGGTGATGGCACAGCAACACAGCCCTGATGTTCTGTCTCTCTAACCAGGTGGTGGGACGGGCTTCGTGGGCAGAGCCCTGACCCAGCTGCTGCGGAGCCGAGGGCACCAAGTGACCCATGTGTCACGAAGAGGGGGCACGGATCGGATCAGCTGGGTATGAAATGAGAGCGGTCACAGCAGGGCGAGTGTGACAGGGCTGAGAAGCCAGGCTGCATGCCGTGGCTTTCCATGGCATGGAGGGACCCTGCCCAGGGAAGTCTGGCTCCTCTGGGTGTCCTTTTGCTGGATGTTCCATGGGTCACAGTCATTAGAATGGGTGCTGCTGTAGCTCCAGGAAACAAAACCTTCTCCATTTGTGCTGTCTCTGCAAATGTCTGGAAGAAACTGGGTGAAGTTCTTGGGAGCCTGCTCTGCTTATTTGCAGGGAAGGCTTGAGCAGAGGGGTGGCCTGATGTGTGATGTCTGTCACTCCTGCCTAGGAGGAGCTGTCACACTCCGGGCTGCCCCTGTGTGAAGCTGTGGTCAACTTGGCTGGTGAAAATGTCCTCAACCCTTTCCGCAGGTAACTTGATGTTCCATAGTGCTCTTGAGACAAGGTGGAGGCAAGAGAAGCCAGTGTTGTCAGGGAGTGTGGAAAGGGAGGAAACAACATGATCAGGAAGCTCTTGGGTTGACATTTGTACCCTCAAGTACCCAGAGCATTTCTGTGGGCCTGGTAGGTTCTGAGAGACCTTTGGAAGAAAAGTTCCCTCCTGCATCTACAGCTGGAGGCCAGAAACATTAGTTCCACATTTCCAAAAGGAGACTGGGTGGCATGCCTGCATGCAAAGTTTGACTTCTGGGAGGAGCACCAGCTTTGCTGTCTAGCTCCTTTGCTGACTTTGTCTGAAGGCAGTCCAAACCCTTCAGTCTTGTAAGGGTTAGAGCCACCATCTCCCAAAGTTCCTCTGCCTTTGTGCTGAAACATGACATGTCCTCCCTTTGCTCTGAGGTGAGGGGAGTTCCTGTGACTTCTCCTTGGTGCCTTGGGAAGGCTGGCCTAGAACAGAGACTGGACAGAGCTCAAGAATAAAGCAGGGATTTATTAGGAGGATGCATGGATCCACTTTGGACAGCACAGGGCTACACCCAAGACGAACCAAAATGGTCACAAAATGCCCCACTGGTCACAGGGTCTCTCACTTTTATAAGCTCTGCTCCATTTGCATATTGGAGTTAATTGTCCAATTCCAGGTTTGGCCCATGCAGTCCCATCCTTGTTTTTCCCTCTCCAGCCCACGCTGTTTGTGCTCTTGGCCATAGATTTGGCTCATTTGTCCTTGTTCCCCAGCTGGAACAGGAATTGTTTTGTCTCCCTGCTCTGTGCACAGAGCTCACCATCCCCTAATAGAAGGCCAGAGCCACCCACTAAAGCAACAGAGAACCTGAGAAATATAAAAACTAAAACCTGAGGCATCACCCTGTGCGTGTGAGCTGGTGTTGGCTGGGTCCCCCTTGGTGGCAGTCCTGTGAGGTGTTTGATCCTGGCTCTCCCTTTCCCAGGTGGAATGATGCCTTCTGCAGGGAGGTTGTCAGCAGCCGGGTGGAGACCACGAAGGCCTTGGCCAAAGCCATCGGTGCTGCTGAGCAGCCTCCCCGTGCCTGGGTCCTCGTCACTGGCGTAGGTATTGGTTGGGCCTGGCCAAGACAGCACTCGTGCTGACCTGGAGAGGCCTTGCCTGCAGACAGTTCCTCAGGAGCACCTTCTTGCCTTGAAATGTCAGCTGTATTGCTGTCAGTGTCACTGTGTTTAGGCAAGCCTTGATAAGCTTTTAGTGCTGCTGGAGAGGAATTTGGCTCCCTGTGCTTTGTCTAGGGCAGTTCTGTGTTTTCCTGTGAAAGCCTTTAGGCGTCCTGTAGAATCAATTTGTGTCAGTAAGACCTTCTGCATAATCTCCAACTTCCTGCTTGCGGCAGTCTTTAAAGCTGAGGTTTATCTTTAAAGCTGCCATGGTTTAAACCTTCCAGCCAGCTCAGTGTGTTGTTTGTAGGCCTGTTTGGGTTTTGGGGCTGCCTGAGTTTTACTGCATCCTACTGAACCTGTAGAGCACATTGGTAGTTCAGAAACTTGTCAGCATTGCTATTAGACTGTGCTGTTCATGTGAGGATATTCCTGGTGGAGTGATCAAGCTCACAGAATCCCAGAATGGTCTTGGGTTGGAAGGGGCCCTAAAGCCAATGCAGTGCCGTGACAGGGACACCTTCCACTGTCCCAGGGTGCTCCAAACCCCATCCAGCCTGGCCTTGGACACTTCCAGGGATCCAGCGGTGGCCACAGCTGCTCTCCGCACCCTGTGCCAGGGCGTCCCCACCCTCACAGGGTAGATTTCCTTCCTAGCAGCCAGTCTAAACTGACTTTAAATTTGAAGCAATTCCCCCTTGTCCTGGCACTCCAGGCCCTTGTAGTCTCTCTCCAGCTTTCTTATAGGTTTCCTTCAGGTACTGGAAGGTTGCAATTAGGTCTCTTTTTCCAGGCTGAACAATCCCAGTTCTCTCAGCCTTTCCTCACAGGAGTTCTAAGCTCCTGGAGGCAGAGAAGGTCTGATGGGAAAGGGGGGCTTGGTGTGATCATTCAACCCTGACCCCTTTTCTGCTGTCACCCTGCAGGTTTTTACCGGCCCAGCCCCACAGCTGAGTACACTGAAGACAGTGCAGGAGGGGATTTTGACTTCTTCTCACGCCTGGTGAGCTCGTGGGAGGCTGCAGCTCTCATCCCTGGCAGCCCAACTCGTGGTGTTGTGGTGAGATCAGGTGAGATGGGGCATCGTGGTTATTAATGGGGATTGCTTTACTGCTGGGAAGAGCTGGGTAAAGGGCGTCAGTTCTTCTCTCTTCCCTTGTTGGGGTGCTGTTCCAGCCAGCCCCTTAAGGATTCTCCTGCTTGTTGGTGTGGGTGTGGAGGGCGTTTTGCCCTCTGGCAGCAGCACCTGGTGTCACTCTGTTCTCCCCACAGGTGTGGTGCTGGGCCGAGATGGCGGCGCAATCTCCCAGATGCTCTTGCCTTTCCGCCTGGGACTCGGAGGCCCCATGGGCTCTGGACTGCAGCCCTTCCCGTGGATCCACATCCAGGACCTGGCTGGGATCGTGTGTCACGCCCTGGAGACGGAGTCAGTGCGAGGCGTCCTCAACGGCGTTGCCCCGTCCTCGCCTGGCACCTCCAATGGCACCTTCGCCCAGGAGCTGGCGGCAGCCCTGGGGCGCCCGGCGCTGCTGCCGGTGCCCGCCTGGGCCGTGCGGGCTCTCTTTGGGGCAGAGAGGGCGGCCATGCTGCTGGAGGGACAGAGGGTGCTGCCCAAACGCACCCTGGAGAGCGGCTACCGCTTCACCTTCCCTGAGCTGCCTGCGGCTCTCAAGGACATTGTGGCTTGAGGTGTCCCCACCTGGGCTGGGCCCTGTTTGTGTGAGCCCCCCATCAAAGAGGGGAGCCCTGCCCCCTGGCACTTCCCCATGCACGTACAGCAGGGGTGAGCAATCCTGCCCTCCTGTATCTCACTGTTTAGGAATCATCCCTCTTCCTGCCATCTGAATCTTAACATCACCTGCACTTGGGGAAGGGCAGGAGTCCCTCACAGGACTGGGATTGTGGGATTGCCCGTCTCCCCTTTGGCGTGGTGTGCGTGTGAACTGCTGACAAAGCAGCTGGGGTGTCCTGTCTTCTCTCCTGAGAGACGTGGCAGCAGGAAACAGTCCTAATGCTGTTGTAATTCCTCCATGGTACTGGAAGTTGCCCTTCCTGTTTTCTCCATGATGACAGGCAAAGCAGAACAGCTAAAGTCTCTTGGTGTTGGTGGTTGTGGGAGGAGATGCATCTTAGGGTGCTGAATACAAATTGCTTGGAGACTCTGCCCTCTCTTTTCTTGTGGCTGGTACCAAGTTGATGTGTCAGTACCTTCAGCTGAGTCTAACCCAAAGAGTTGCACCCTTCCAGGGTTGCATTCCCCTTGTGCTGTGGCAGGGATGAGGGAGAGCCCTGCTTTGCCAGCCTCTAGAGGAAAGAGTGACAGACTGTGGCCCCTGGACTGCTTTGCCTTGGTTGAGTGCCCATCTAAGCTTGAGCTCAGGAAAGCTGGGTGGTACATCACAGTGTGAGCTTTGGTCACAGCTTTAGTCCAAAGGAGCATTTCAGCTATTGCCTTCCTTGTGCTTACCTCACACCAGGGTGGTTTTCTTTTACTGATCCCATGAGGTGGTGCTGGTGTTCAGGTGTTCCCCCTGACTGGGCACTGAGGATATCCCAGCTGCCTGGTCTGCCTTGGGAAGCAGAACCTCTTCCCTTGTAAAGCAATTTCATCATCTCACAGTGACAGAAAATGCATCCATGTGCTTCCCTTGACCCACTTCCATATCCCAAAGGGGGTTACAGGGTGTGAAGTCCACAGAGCAGTGAAGTTTATTGTAGCAGTACTTCTGGGGAAATATTCCTAGTGTGATGTAAGCTGGGGCTAGAAAATTCTATTAAAAGGCACTTCAGGCAGATAAAGACCTACTCTTTGCAATCCACAACAACAGCAATCCACTCATTTCTGGTTTATGCCAGAGTAGCTGAAGGATCAGTCTTGGTGGAGTCTAGATGAGTCTCCTGTCTCTGTTCAGTACATTCTGTGTGACATCTGTGTGACATCTGTGAGCAGGCTGAGCCTGGAGTTGTGGTCTCATTCTGGCAGAGCTGAGTGATCTGCACTGCTGCCTTGCTTTGGGGTTAGCTCTGGGCTGACTGCTAAGCTGCAACACAGTATTAAAGACAGCAAGGCTTAATTCAGAGTTTTCTGTAGCAGTCATAGTTCTGCACTATTTGTATTGTTAATCTGCTTTAAACATTCTTCCACTAATTGTAAGACACTGATTCCCTAATTAAAGTTGGTATTTCCCATCCTTGTACCCCTTGATTTCCACTGACCATGGACTTCAGTAAAACCTTTGATTTCATTTTCCACAGTGCTCTCCTGGAGACACTGGCTGCTCCTGGCCTGGATGGGCATACCCTGCACTGGGTACAAACCAGTCTGGGCAGCTGAGTGCCAGGTAGGGAAGGGTTAAACCCAGGTGGGGAAGGGTTAAACTCAGCTGGTGACCCATCAGAAATGGTGTTCCCCAGGGCTCAGTACTGGGACCAGTCCTTTTCAGTATCTTTCACCAGGGATCTGCCTGGGTAGGTATGGTCACCAATTGTGGTGTTGTGAGGGTCCCCAGAACAAGGTGAGAGATGAGAATTGACTCCAAGTTCTCAGTAGGCTGATTTATTATTTTGTGATATTATATTATATTAAAATAAAATTATAAACTATACTAAAGAAAGAGAAAGGAGATACCAGAAGACTGGACAAGAATGATAATAAAAACTCATGACTGACAGAGTCCCAGCTGAACTGGGATTGGTCATTAAGTTAAACAATTCACATGCTGTGGAAACAATTCTCCAAATCGCATTCCAGAGGAGCAAAACATTGAGAAACTGAGGCTTCTCATCTTGCCAGGAGTAGAAATCATGAAGAAGGGGTTTTTCATAAAATACCACCGTGACAAGGGGGTTGAGTGCACTCTTAGTAAGCTGGCAGACCCAGCTTGGATGGCATTTTTGGGAGGGTGGGAAGGCTCTGTAGAGGCCCATGGGGCAAGGCCAGTGGTAGGAGGCTCATCAGGGCCAAATGTTGGGTCCTGCACCTGGGTCACAACAAATCCATGCAGTGCTCCAGGCTCAGGGAAGAGGGCCTGGAAAGCTGGAATGACCTGGGTGTGCTGGGTGACAGGGCTCAAGATGACCTCAGTGTGCCCAGGTGGCCAAGCAGGTCAGTGACACCTGGCACCATGGACGTGTGGGCACACAGAATAGAGATCCCTCGCCCAGACAGGAAATCCTGGCTGCACTGAGCAGCAGCAGGGCAGGGCCAGATAAGTCCCTAGTAAATCTTGGAACCATCTGAGATGCTTTTCTCCCTCCATTCCATAATGGGTCCTTTATCCCCTGGGCATTAACTCTGCCTCAGGCTGTGAGCTGACCCCAGAGCTGTTCCCACTGACCCACTGGAACAGGTCCCACACCCAGCCAGGGGCTGCTGGATCTCCTGGGACAGCCCTTGGAAGAGCTGGATCAGAATGTCCTTTTCTCTGCTTAGGTTCCTCTCTGGTTTCTCTACCTGCTGGTGGGCATCTGTGCCCCTTTGTGCATGTGTAGACCAAGTTTTTATTGTATAACCAGAAAAATTCACTTTGTAAAGGAGCAGAGAAGTGTTTTAATCACTGCCCTGAAGGCTTTACTGATAAACAATCCTGTAGCAATGACTGAACTTTTTTATTTCAAAGCACAGTTGAACACAAGCTCCAGGGCAGCAAGTTGTGAGTTATAATTTGAGAGTCTGTGGTTGGGAGAGTTATAATTTGCATTTTTTCATCTTGCAAAGGGGGGGGAGTGACTACACTGCCATGAAAATTCCCATTTCAGTTCTGCTCCAATTATCACAAGGTTCCTTCATCTGCATGTGTCCTGATCCACATGACATGAAGAACTTTTTAATTAGCCCCAAGGTGACAAAACCTAGTTTTGCTAATTATATTATTGTTATTCTTTTTTGAATGACCAGAAGTGCAAGGTGATTTGGGATTTTGCTTTCTTTTTGAATCCCATCATTTCCCTTAACAAAGGCATCATGAATCCTATAAGGGAAGGTTGTTGGAGTCTTCTGTTGGAGGCAGGTTTGCAATCATCTCCTCTGAGTAGAGCTGTGCTGTTTTATCTTGTAATTTGAGAATGAATTCTTGTAGCCTGTGTGAAGTTGGATCACAGAAACAGGAGTTTGCTGAAGGTATTTGCTCTTTCTGCCAAAAATACTGCAAGGATGAATAATTCCACACACTGCCTGTGGCAATGATTATATTGTGAAAGAGGAAATTACCTGAAAATGTTTATCACTTTTAATATATAATATTACTTAACAGAGCTTCAGAGACACTCCCCATGTGTTGGGAGAGGTCTGAGGGAAGGCAGGCATGACTCATAGCTGTCTCAGCATTTCTGTATTTCAGGTTTTGCTGCAGCTCAGTCTTACTTTTGTGTTAGAGGGATTACTGAGACAAAAGAGAAAGGCTGGATTAGAGTTGAAAGCAAATTGCTTTCTCTCTCCTCCAAGCTTCTGTGAAAATACTATTTTTAAATGGGAAATGAGAACAAAGAATCTACAGTATCAATTGTGGATTGTTAGAAAATGTGATTTCCTACCAAAAGTGGTTTTCCTTTTTGGATCTGTGGAAAAAGATCTGCAATTTTCAAGCAGAAAATAGGATTAATTATATAAGGCTTTAAAATGGAATTATGCACTGACACTAAGGAGGAAACTGTTATGGGAAAAAATTACAGTATCCCTGCAGAGTATTCACCAGAGGGAATGGAAATATGCAGAGAGTTCTTGTTTCTACAGTTCTCTGAAATTCCATTTTGGGAATAGTTTAACAGTTTATAGGGGAAAATAAAAAAGCTGTGGTTTTTTGTAAAAAATTAGATTTTTGTTTCAGCAGCCAAGTGGAGGTAGTAACTTCCCATCAGGGAAATGGCTCTGTCACCTTGGGCTGTGGGTGCAGGTGAGCAGCTGCCATCTTCTCTTAGAACTTCCCCACAGTGTCTCCAAATTCACTGAATTTAATGCATGGAGAGAAGAGAAATCTCTGTGGAAGCCTTTCAGCAGACTTCCTGCACCAGGGAGTGGCCTACAAGAGAAACAGAGAGGCATTTTACACAAATTCATGTGGTGACAGGACTTGAGGACAGGAAAATGGAGGAAGGAGTCAGTACACTGGATGGCAGGGCAGGAATTTGTAGGGAGAGTTTGGAGAAATAGGTTGGCATGAATGTTATGAAGTCTGACATAAGTAAATATTCATCCTGCTTCTGGGAGAGGACAAGCCTGTGCAATCAGCAGAGGCTAGAGGCCAGGAAGCAGCTTTGTAGGTAATGGTCACAGTTGAGATAATACAAAGAAACACTCCATTTTCAGAAGGCTTCAAACCCAGTTTAATTATAGCCTGCATGCTTTTTATACATTCTTATAAAACTCACAAGTTTACACTTTACTCAATTTACTCAGACAAACAAAGTGCTAATTAGAATAGACAGTTGAAGTTTCTCTTATTTATCCTTCTTTCTTGGTTTCTATGTCAATGACCTTGGAAGGAAATTCTTTCAGGGGTAAACATGGATCCTTTTCTCAAACTTCTCTCTGGCTCACAGGGATTGCTGTAAAATCTCTTCCACAGATAGTGACCCTGGCAAACAGCTGAATAGGAGACGGGAATGTGCTCCTCTGTCACAGGTGACAGCTTCAGCTCTGCCAGCAGAGGTCGGGCCAGGTAGTGCAGGGAAATGATCCCATCCCTGTTCAGTGCAGGGAAATGATCCCATCCCTGTTCAGTGCAGGGAAATGATCCCAGCCCTGCTCAGTGCAGGGAACTGATCCCAGCCCTGTTCAGTGCAGGGAACTGATCCCAGCCCTGCTCAGTGCAGGGAACTGATCCCAGCCCTGCTCAGTGCAGGGAACTGATCCCAGCCCTCCTCAGTGCAGGGAACTGATCCCATCCCTGTTCAGTGCAGGGAAATGATCCCAGCCCTGCTCAGTGCAGGGAACTGATCCCATCCCTGTTCAGTGCAGGGAACTGATCCCATCCCTGCTCAGTGCAGGGAACTGATCCCAGCCCTGCTCAGTGCAGGGAAATGATCCCAGCCCTCCTCAGTACTGGACTGGGTCAAGACCAGCACTCCAGGACAAGAAGGACAGTCACACACACACTGGACTGACATCCTTGGAGGGTGTCCAAATTAATCACTGGGCTGGATCACATAACAGTCAAGGAGAGGCTGGAAGAAATGGGTTTTTTCACCCATACAGAAGAGAAGGCTGAGGGGAACCTGATTTCTGTGTATAACTGGCTGATGAGATGAGGATACAGAGCAGATAGAGCCTTCCTGGAGGTGTACAACAATAAAATGAAAGGCAACAGACACTAACTGGAATATCCTAAGTTCTCACTGAATATAAGGGAATTTGGTTTTTTGTTTTGCTTTGTTTGGTTATATACTTGAACAGTCCACAGAGTTTGTGAGACTTGATGACTTCCAAAAATCCCTCCTGGATTAATCATAAATTATTTTATGATTCTATGTTTTAATAATTCTGTAGACCAACACACATTTATAGTCATCTTTATTGCTCTTGTTTGTGCAGGGATAAAGAATGGAATCAAAGAACACCACCACCACTGTGACAGAATTTGTCCTGTTGGGCCTGACACAGAGCCACAAGGTGCAGTATTTTCTCTATGTGATCTTCTTTCTCATCTATGTGATGACCTGGCTGCTGAACTTCACCATCATGGCCACCGTGGCTGTGGACCACCACCTCCACACCCCCATGTACTTTCTCCTGGCCAACCTCGCCTTCCTTGACATCAGTGACTCCTCAGTCAACACTCCCAAGCTGCTGTCAGGCCTCCTCACCCAGCACAAAGTCATCTCCTTCCACCAGTGTTTCCTCCAGATGTTCTTCTTCCATTTCATTGCAGGTGCAATGGCATTTCTGCTCCTGGGGATGATGGTGGATCGCTACGTGGCCATCTGTGAGCCCCTGCGCTACCTGTCCATCATGAGCTGGAGCACCTGCACAGGCCTGGTGGCAGCTGCATGGCTGGGTGGATTTCTTCATTCCATTACACAAACTGGCCTTCTCCTGCAGCTGCCATTCTGTGGCCCAAATGTACTGGACAATTTCTACTGTGACATCCCCCAGGTCATCAAACTGGCCTGCACTGACACTCGCAGGGCTGAGCTGCAGATGGTGTTTAACAGTGGAATGATCCTCATCAGCCTTTTTGTGATCTTGATTATTTCTTACATTGTCATCTTGCTGAAGATAAGGACGTGCATCACGGAAGGGAAGAGAAAAGCTCTGTCCACCTGTGGAACACAGATAACTGTTGTGAGCTTAATATTCATCCCCTGCATCCTCACCTATGCCCAGCCTTATAAGAAATCCCCTGGGGACAAGGTGGTCTCTGTTGTTTTCACTGTGGTCACCCCAATGCTAAACCCAATGATCTACACACTCAGAAACACTGAGATGAAAAAGGCCACCAGGAGAACGCTGGGGAAAATATTTCTGTCAGCAGGAAAGCAGAAACTGGAGCGGACAGCAGATCCAAAGTCATCAAATCTGGTGTTCCCATGACAAAACTGTGTTCATCACTGATATTCCTGTATAAAAGAATATAGGGTGCCCCTGACTCTGGGGATGATTGGTATTTGACTCTATTGATTCAGAGTGCTGAACAATTGCTTTAATAAACTATACTATATTACATTGGATAAAATTTTCTTTGTCTCTGCAGTGTGTTGGTTGTTTCTGGCTCCAGGGGTGGTAATTATAGAATTGTGGCAGCAGCAGTGCTAACTCAGGTGCCTTAGTTAAAGCTCTAAGATGCACAAATTTATTTGTAATTATTCATTGTATTTATTACTTCTTGTAACTTATATAATTCTGAACCATGTGGCCTCTAGAAGCCATTGTCTAGAATTCTCCAGATCACTTACTAGTTCAAAAACTCAATAAATCAAACAATTCTTTCTTTCTTTCTTTCTTTCTTTCTTTCTTTCTTTCTTTCTTTCTTTCTTTCTTTCTTTCTTTCTTTCTTTTTTCTTTCTTTCTTTCTTTCTTTCTTTCTTTCTTTCTTTCTTTTTTCTTTCTTTCTTTCTCTTTCTTTCTTTCTTTCTTTCTTTCTTTCTTTCTTTCTTTCTTCTTTCTTTCTTTCTTTCTTTCTTTCTTTCTTTCTTTTTTCTTTCTTTCTTTCTCTTTCTTTCTTTCTTTCTTTCTTTCTTTCTTTCTTTCTTTCTCTTTCTTTCTTTCTTTCTTTCTTTCTTTCTTTCTTTCTTTCTTTCTTTCTTTCTTTCTTTCTTTCTTTCTTCCTTTCTTCCTTTCTTCCTTTCTTCCTTTCTTCCTTTCTTCCTTCCTTCCTTCCTTCCTTCCTTCCTTTCTTCCTTTCTTCCTTTCTTCTTTCTTTCTTTCTTTCTCCCTTCCATTCTATACTACATAGACACATGTATATTAATAACCCCCTTGTAATGCAAATAAAAAAATAAACTCAATGCTGACCTTTAATGTTATAAGCTGAATTAAAGAAGCAGCACATTCCAACAATGCTAAAACTTCTTTATGTGGTTCTAAAGTGAAGAATCAAGTACTGCACCAGCAACACACAACTAATGACTAATTTAGCTGTTTTCTTGGAGCTTCCTTAAGGAGATCAATTGCACCCATGGCAGGAGGTGATTTGATAGAACCATAAACTATGGCAGCATGTTGAGCTCAGCAGCCCATTTAAATCAGTACCAATTTTTGCCAGAAAAAGTGAATTAATTAGTTATTAAATACCCCTTCACACAGACTTCTGAAAATAATTAATAGAAAGAAATTAACATGTTAAAATATATGATTTTTAAAATGCATTCTTCCTCAAAAGTGCTAGAATCAATAGTTCACATATTGGGGTTGGGGAGATGAATCCAGGCACAGACTTCTGCCCTGGTCTATTTGTGAAGCTGGAATCCACTGCATGACATAATTTAACCAGAATTTCCCTTTTTTATAGAGGAAACAGGATGGTGCAAGTATGAGCTCAGCTCTAGCAAAACCCATGGCTGTGGTTCTTAGGGACCAACAATCAGTGCTCCTTGCTAGAGGTGAAATTCTGATTTACGCCAGCTAAAAACCTGCTTTGTTTGCTACCCCACCTCAGTTTCTGTTTGGGGTATTCTTTGTGCACATGTGGAAACAGGAAACAGGAGAGATGAACTCAGGAAAACCAGAAAGTTGCTGATAGTCTTTGGTGGGAGGGCACTGCAGCAGGAATAAAAAAGGTTTATTCCAAATGGATGAGTGATTGTGGATGTCTCTCTTTGGATCAGACTCTGAAACATCTTTAAAAGAGGCAAAATAAAAGCTTTAACCATTTGGAATGCAAAGTCCCTTAAAGTGATTAACGCTATTGTTATTATACTAGAGTAATAAACTTTATTATTTTTAAGAAATGCTTTTTTCAGTATTATCTTTTTGAGTAATAAAACAAGAAAAAAAATTTCTCTGTTTTTACAGAGGTAAAAGTAAATCAGCTCCCAGAAGCAAAGTCTGCAGAAATGTAAATGAAGTTTCATTAACACTTTCTCCAGTGTTCCAATTATTCAGAAAAAAAAAGTTTCAACAATACAGAGACAAATTAAGCTCCCTAGAGGAGTCTAAGCAAACAACATTGCCAAATGCAATTAACACTCTGTCATTAACTGTTGTTGTGAAGTTTGTGAAGTCAGGCAATGACTTCATCCTGAGATGATTTACATTGCCTTTCTCTTTTACAAGCAAGCTAAACCAAAAAAAAGAACATTATACTCAATTTTAGTGCCCTTTTCTGCCTTTATGGCCAGTCAGATGAAACAGAGACACCTCAGAGCTCAGCATGGCCATATCAGTAGTGAAGATTTCTTTTTCTTGACCTCAATATGAAAAATACAGTTTGAATGCTGCAGGCTCTGACCCAGGCTATTCACCGAGCCAGTGCACCTCTTGTATCCAGAATAAACCCCAAAACCCTCCCAAATAAACACTCCCAGGTTGTAGCAGCCCTTTTCTCTGTGTGCTAATCCTCTGGAAATTCTTCTTTTCATGCCTGGATGAATTTCTCCAGCTGGGATTTGCAGAATGCTCTTATCCCATGCAGTGCTTGGAGGGTGTGGGCACTGCACTGCATTAAATGCCAAGTTCTTGCTGGAAATAAGGAATTACCTCCAGGTAATCTTCCTTTCCTTCCCTTTCCCCACACCTTAAATGAAAAACACAAGGCTCTGAAAGAAGTGAACTGATTTCCTTATCACTGTCATTCAGTGGACCTCTTTTCTGCCAGAAGGAATGGAAAATATATAAAAAGGAAAAAAAAAAGGCGAAGCAAAACATGTAGTCCCTATCAATTAGTGTGTGCTTAGCCTGGAAAATTCACTATAAAATATTTGTTCAGTAAGAGGGTGAGGAGAACTCCCTGCAGTGAAGTGAGGAGTTGCAGCCTGGATACCTGAATTAGACATGGGAAGTGCTCTGCTTCAGAAGAAATGTCTGAAATATATATTTTGTACTTTAAGGAAGAAATGGAGATAAAAATTCTAAATAATCTGCTTCTGAAGGAAAGAATAAAGACAAAATATTTAAAAGTGTGAAACAGATTTTTGTGCCTGTAGTTTCCCCATAGCTAGTAAACCATCAGGACTCACCAAAAACGGAAATAAGATTTTTAATCCACACGTTCATGAAGAAGAAAATAATCAGGGTGTAAATGAGGGGGTTTAAAGTGGGAATTACAGTTGTGTATATGAGAGCCAGGACTTTCTTAGCCTCCTGTGAATCACTGGATTTTGACTGTAAGTAAATCAAAGTCCCACTGGTGCAGTACAACATTACTATATTTCTGCTTTAGAAGAAATGTCTGGAATTTATATTGTACTAAGGAAGAGATGGAGATAGAAATTCTAAATAATTTGCTTCTAAAGCAAAGAATTAAGACAAAATATTTAAAAGTGTGAAACAGATCTTTGTGCCTGTAGTTTCCCCTGAGCTAGTTAACCATCAGAACTCACCAAAAAATGGAAATAAGGTTTTTAATCCACACATTCATGGAGAAGAAAATCTTTATTTCTTCATCAACACAGCCATCCCTCTGACTAGTACTTCTTTCACTTCTTTATTCCTCAGGCTGTAAATCAGGGGGTTTAAAGTGGGAATTACAGTTGTGTATATGAGAGCCAGGACTTTCTTGGCCTCCTGTGAATCACTGGATTTTGGCTGTAAGTAAATCAAAGTCCCGCTGGCGCAGTACAACGTTACCACGGTAAGGTGCGAGGAACAGGTGGAGAAGGTCTTGTGCCTGCCCTCTGCAGAGGAGATCCTCAGGATGCTGGAGATGATGCAGGTGTAGGACAGCAGGATGAGGCAGAAGGGCGTGAAGATGACGAGCACCGTGGCCGAGATCAGCTGCCGCTCGTAGCGCGACGTGTCCGCGCACGAGAGCAGCACCAGCGGCGGGATGTCACAGAAGAAGTAGTTGATGCTCCTGGGCCCACAGAAGGGCAGGGTGAACACCCAGGCTGTCTGCACCACCGACACCACCTGGCCACTGCAGCAGGAGAGCAGCACCATGGAGAGGCAAGCCCTGGTGCTCATGATGGCCGGGTACCTCAGCGGGCGGCACACGGCCACGTAGCGGTCGTAGGCCATGGCTGCCAGCAGGTACCACTCAGTGGACGCCAAGAAAACCACACAGTAGAGCTGTGTGACACAGCCCAGGTAGGAGATGCTCCTGTCCTCTGACAGGGTGCTCACCAGCATCTTGGGGACCACCACTGAGGCTGTGGAAATATCCAGGACCGACAGGACGCGGAGGAAGAAGTACATGGGTGTGTGGAGGGTGGGGTGAGCTGTGGCCATGCAGATGAGGAGGTTCCCGATGAGAGTCATGCTGTAAACGAAGCAGATTGTGAAGAACAGCAGGTGCCGGAGTTCTGGACGGCTGGACAACCCAGAGAGGATGAATTCACTCAGTAGGGTGTGGTTTCCTGCATCTTGTTCCTCTGCTGGCTCCATCTGGGAGGAATCAGAGAGACTGTCAGACCAGGATCACACTGCTTCCAGCCAGGAGCAGCCTCTGGGGGATGCCTGGAGAGCTGCTGGATCAAAGGGAGGAAGTCTAGAGCAGGCTGGGCTGAGCACATTGAGAAGGGAGTGGCTGGAAGTGTGTGGTGCCGGTGCCCTCCAAGTGTCATTGTTTGGTGGTGTCACCAAGCCTTTGACCAAGAGGAGCTGGCATTGAAGGGGTGGCTCCATCAGGGGTGCAGGGTTAATGCTGAGGATCTGCTTTCCCCCCACATGTCAGGTCTGTGCTCCCAGCTGCTCCCAGCGAACGCCCAGGTGAAAACTGAAACACCCACAGACCACAGAAAGGAAGAAAAACCCTTGTGCTACCTTGGGGAACAGTGGGCAATGCTCCTTACACTCTGTTTCTCCTCCTGAGTGGGCTGACAGGGCAGGCAGCCTCCCTCCAGGACATCTGAAGTCCAGAGCAACTCAACTTCAGATGACAGCCAGGGAAGTTGAGGCTGTGGGAGGCTTTGGCTCACATTCACATCAATCCCCAGCTGCCAGGGGGACAGAAATCCTTCCAAGAGCCCAGAAATTCTTCCAGGAGCCCAGAAATTCTTCCAGGAGCCCAGCTGTGGGGAAAGCACTCCCAAATGGAGCAAGCAGAAGCTGTGAAAAGAAGTCCTAAGCCAACTCCTGCCCACCAAAACACCACAGAGCAAAGAAATCAGCACCAAATTAAACCAAATGAAAATTTGTGTCTATAGGCAGGCAAAGGAAGAAGGAATAATTCGAGGCAGAGGTACCCATGGGGAATGATGAGGAAATGCAGAGGGAGAAGCTCAGGACCATCCATTCATGACTCACATGGCCTCGTTCCCCTGAGGAGGGTTCCTGTGTGAGGGATGTTCACAAAGTGCTGCACCAGCTCTGTTTCCTCACTGCCCAGGATGGGAAACTGAGGCACTGAAAGAGAAGAGATCAGCCTGCCACAGAGGAGAAAGGATGGTGAATTCTGTGTCCTTCAGACTCAGCATCTTTCACCAAAGGGGCCACCAGGCACTGCCCTACAGCAGCAAATCTCAAGGCACAAAATGCATTTTGGCACCAGAAATGTGTCCATGAACAGTGGGGGAAGCACTGTGGGCTCTGTACACACAAGGAACAATCAGCAGAGCTGGCACACAGAGAAGGACACAGCTCAAAGCTCTGCCATCACCAGCCAACCTTGGGCTGCTCTGTAGATGATATTCTTGCCCCTGACAAGGGGAGGGAATGATGCATTGACTCCATCTTATCAGAAGGCTAATTAATTACTTTATTATACTGTATTATTCTATACTATATTATCTATACTATATTATCCTATTACTATATTACACTATATTTTTACTATATTACACTATATTACACTATATTATTATTATATTGCATTATATTATTACTATATTACACTATATTCCCTCCCCCTGACAAGGAAAGAGAAATGATGCATCTGACTCCATCTTATCAGAAGGCTTTTTTATAATAATAAAGGCTTTTTTTCTTATAATAAAGAAATTAATTTCTGTATTATACTATATTATTCTATATTATATTACACTATTGCCATATTACACTATATTACACTATATTGTACTATATTACACTACATATACACATGTATATACAATATAGTGGAATATATTATACTATATTCCACTATATTATTAGTATATTACATTATATTATTACTATATTCCACTATATTCCCTCCTCCCAACAAAGAGAGAGAATAATGCATCTGCCTCCATCTTATCAGAACGATAATTAATTTCTTTATAATACTATATTATTCTATACTATATTACACTATTACTATATTACACTATTTCTATATTACACTGTATTTTTACTATATTCCACTATATTACACTACATTACACTATATTATTATTATATTACATTATATTATTACTATATTACGCTATATACCCTGACAGGCCAAGGAAACAAAACACCATCACTGTGGGTAAACAATCTCCACATTGCATTCTACTTTGGCACAAACACAGGCACAGCAAATGATAAAAATTGTTTTTCCTTTCCCTGAGGTTCAGAGAATGTGAAACCCAGAAATATTCTTGGGGAGAATTTTGTGCCTTGCTTTTCTCTGTGAAGAGAAATGTGGCGACACCGCTCTGTCTCTGGGTTTTATGACCTGAACACAAAGCTGTGGATTCTGGAGCCACAGATGTCTTAAACGCACAAGCACAATAAGGAAACTCCCAATATTCTCAGACATTTGGTGCTCTGATGTATTTTAAAGGGATTTGTCTGGGTTTGGCTGTTTCCATTACCACAGGAATGAAAGGACACTTTTGGAGTGGTATCTCAATAGAGCCTGTGCATGACAGATAGAGAATGACATGAAAAACTCCCTGCACACATTCACACTGCTTTTAACTTGTTAGATCCATGTAGCTAAATGGAAACCACCTAATTCTGCCCTCCAAGCCCATGTGAAAGGTTTAGACTATTGCTGTGATCTTTAGCTCTTTAACAAAGTCAGCAACACTCACAGCAGCCACTGTTTTACTGACAGTCCATCTTTTATTCCCTAATTCAGAACACCTCTCAGAAAAAATTCTCAATTTATATAATTTGTGTAAAAACGAGTAAACTTCTTTTTGTAATAAGTTTTGGCCTTAGCTCTTCCTTGGATTTTCTCTATACATTCACAATAGAGATTTTGAAGCAAAGCGTCCTACCTGCAGCAATTCTGCCATCCAGTGCCTCCAAAATGGCTCATTCCAATTTTGATAGAAGTATTTCCCTTGTTTTCTTACATTAGGAATGGTGTTGGGCTGATGATTCCTACTGTCAGCTTACACGGCAGATTAAAAATTATTTCGAATTATTTTAATTATTTAAAATTATTTTAAATTATCTTAAATGCAGATGCTCTTCTGCCACAGCTGGAATAATCTATTGACATTATCACATGGCATACACCATAGAAAGTCAGCCAAGGACTTGTCTCACAGAGAGGAGGAAAAGGAATTTGTTAGATTTGTTTCAACTCAGTTGAAAGCTGAGAGGCATCTCTATTTTTTGCCCATGAAGGGAACAGCTGAGCTGCCTCTGCTGCTTAAATAGAGTCTCTTGAAATCCCCAAATCCCCTAGAGGTGGGGTTGATTTAATCTGATTTCAGAGCTGGGATGGTTGTTCAGGGCTGTGCTCCCTCTGTGGGCAAAGGGGATGTGGCAAACATCCTCACACCAGCACTGAGATGCTGTTCTGGATGGAGCCCTCCCGCACTGTCTGGAAAATGGGATCAGAGGGACTCCTGCACACACAGGAATCTCATCTCTTACATGCCCAAGGCTGTGAATTCTGCATCTTCACCAGCTGGGGACTGATTGTTAACCTGAAAGGTCTGAGCAGCAGCTGGAAATCTCAAGGGATGTGTGACTCCAAGGGCAGAATTAGCCTGATGCTGCCTTTGTTTAATTGGACTGGTGCCTTTAGGGGCAGTGCTGTCTCTGCTGGGAGAGTTTCCATTCAACTCCAGCCACTCACAGCTCATTCTTCAATTTTTAGTGACTGCTTGTCAATGTGAATCCTTTCCTTCCTTCTTTCCTTTTCCCTTTCCTTTTCCCTTTCCTTTTTCCTTTACTTCCTTCTTTCCTTTTTCCTTTCCTTTCCTTTCCTTTCCTTTCCTCCTAAATTCATTCCTTCCTCTCATTTCCTTCCATCAGTTACAGTAGGAAAAAAGATCCAATCCAACAAAAATCAGATTTGACAGGAATTTCAGGAATAAACTCTGTACCAACCTGCACAGAGCTGTGAGCAGCATCACCCCCTGATGTGGTCAGAGACACCTGGTCTGGGAAAAAACTTTTAAGAGAACCAGAGAATGAGGACCAAATCTGCATCAAAGGCAAAAGGATCAAGGACAAATAGGAGATTGAAGTGAGAGGGGAAATGAAGTTTCTTCACTCAGTGACTGAGTATTTTAATTTCACAGAATTTGCTTCTCATCCATACAAGAGAGGGCAGCAAACAGAGGTTTCATTTCTGTAGCCATCTGATGGCAGGCAAATGCTGATGAGCATTTGGCTCTCCTGAGCCAATCCCCTGTGTGGTGAGCAGAGAGGAAGAAAACACTCTAAGAATGGAATTTATGTGAATTTTCCAGATCTCCCATTACTTCTGAAATTGTACCTTCCCCCAAACAGCTTCCAGGAGGATCCCCAGGACAGGGACTACAGCCCATGGTCTTTTTAGAACGCAGGGTAAGGGGCAATGCCAGTGTGCTCTGGAGGATTTATTAGTGGGCTTTCTCTAGATCAAAGCCATGTAAAATCTGGAACATCATGAGGTTGCACTGGCTGGAAGCACAATCATGGAAACAGGGGCTGGGTGCCCTCCAGGCTGTAACACTGACCCAGAGCTGCCAGGGAGGACTCAGAGAGGGCCGAGGCAGGGCTGCTCCCTTCTCATGGGGACACCCCGAGCCTGGTCCTCAGCTGAGCTCCAGCTGTGTCTCAGCCAGCCCTGCACCTGTCACTGTCACATTTTCTGGAAAAATCCCTTTGCCAGGACTTTGTTCCTGGGAAGATGAGAAGCCTCAGAGAGAAAGGAAAACAATATTATGTCATTTGCTTCTCCTGCGTTTTGCTGCTTTGGAATGTGGTTGGAGATCGTTTATCCAACAGGTGGTTGTTTGATAAGTTTCATGTGAATTGTTTTGACTTCATGGCCAATAACAGTCAGGCTGTGTTATACTCTGAGGAGAGAGTCACGAGTTTTTAAATATTATCTTGTTAGCCTTGTGTAAGTATCCTTTCTCTATTGTTTAGCATAGTTTTACTATAGCATTATTTAATGTAATATAGTGACATAAAATAATAAATTAGCCTTCTGGGAACATGGAGTCAGATTCAGTCCCTTAGTGACCCTGATCGGTGATTTCTGATTTCCCAAGGACATCTCTGATGGCATTCAGCCCCTCTGATAAAAAATAGGAATTCTGCCTGTCCCTGGCCAGCTCTCCCCATTGCTATCAGAGGATGGGGGGGAAATGAAAAACAAAATCAACAAAAACAACAACAACAACAACAACAAAAAATCCAGATGGAAGCAGCCCACATTAAGTGTCCCAGGGGCTCTCTCCAAAGGTCTCTGATGGGATATGCACTCAACAGACACCCCTTTCCTGATCCTGTGAGCTCTGTGGGTGCTCTGAACCAGCCCAGATCTCTCCATTGTTTGAGAAGACCGTGACCAAAGAGCAGAGAAGGTGTCACGAGCCCCTCACCCCCTCACAGTTTGGGGGGTGTGAGAACAAAAGCAATAAATGACACAGCTACAGGCAGGCTGAGGTTTCCTGTGTCAGCTCCTCATGACATATATAGAGGTTGTCATTCTGTACCTGTTTCCTGCCTGATCACAGCTACTGGTTTGGCTCTTCAGGACAGTGGTGGGAGATGCTGCTGCTCCTTCTGCTCACAAATGCTTTTGTCCTTCTGCCTTGGGCTGGGGCTGGTGAGTACACAGAGATGGGACTTAGACAGGAACATGCAAGGGCACAGATGGACTCTGAGCAGTCAATCCCAGGCAAGGCTCCTGCCTCACCTTCTCTCCTGGCTCTACTCTCCTGCTTTCCTCTCTCCTCTCATCTCCCAGCTCAACCTGTGCCTGAAGCCAGTGAGGCATTAGAGGCACTAGAGCTGTGCCCTTGATGGCATTGGAGTCATCCAGAGCCAGGGGTGGTCAGACCCCAGACAGTGCTGCTTGTCCTTCTCTCCACTGTGCAGCAGAAATGCTTTGGACAGCCCCAGGAAGGAAAGTGGTTGGGATCACTGGCACCTGGCATTAGAGGATGAGCCTTTCCTTTCATGCAGCCCCAAACTTGATAGGAAACAGCAGCATATTAACATGTATATTTAACATTCATATTAACATTTTCCATCTCTCTTCCAGGAAGGATCATTGGTGGAACGAAAGTGAAGGCTCACTCCAGACCCTACATGGCTTACTTAAAAATTGAAAATAGCTCAGATATTTATACCTGTGGAGGGTTCCTGATTCGCCCAGATGCAGTTCTCTCAGCAGCTCACTGTGTGGATAAAAAAGGCAGGGCCGTGAGGGTCACTGTGATTCTGGGAGCCCACAACATAAACAGCCGAGAACGGAGCCAGCAAAAGATCCGTGTGAGACAATGGGTCATCCATCCTGAATATTCCCATGAAGGCTTCAAAAATGACATCGTGCTGCTGAAGGTACGGCCCAACACATCCTTCCTCCTGAGGGATCTCCCCCTGCTCGCCTCCCCAAACTCTGAACTTGCTCCTAATCCTTTGCTGCCTCTAACCCCGTGTTATTTCTGCCTGACAGCTGAAGCCAAGGGCCAGGATCAATAAGAATGTGCAGTTTATCTCAATTCCCAGGAGAAATGAACGGGTGAGAGAAGGAGCTTTATGCACGGTGTCTGGCTGGGGCCGGACATCTGACACAGGAAACAAGACTAATGTGATGAGAGAAGTGAAACTGAAGGTGCAAAAGGAGAAAATCTGTCAGCATCGTATCCCTAACTACCAGCCTCAGTCTATGATCTGTGTTGGTGACGAAAACAATAAAAAAGCAACTTCCCATGTAAGTGTTGTTTTGGGCTGCAAGACTGGGATGAGGTTGGGACTGGAAAGTCAGCTTAGTTCCCAGATGAAAGCCAAAGGAAACCAGAATGAACCAGGACCTTCAGAATGATGAGCTGAGGGTCCTCACAGAAGCTCTCAAGCTGATGTGCTCCCTGAATTGGGGCGCATTTTCCTAACTATCAGCAACATTTGCTTTTTTACTTACCTGGGGATGTTCTACCCAGCCTAACCAGTGCTTTGGTGTGTAAAATCCTTGTGATATCCTTGCTCAGATGGGTTAGATATTTCCCCATGGCTAAAGTAGGTCAATGTTCTTCTTCTGAGTTTTTGAAACTCAGAGAGCCTCCAGGCCTGAATTGTTTAATGGGTGGGCTTAGAGGAGTAGTGAGGCAGCTACAAACACTGAGAGCTGGGTCTGGAGGGAGGGAGGTGCTTGGAAGACGAGGTGCTTCACGTGGAGGGAGGGAAGAGGAAACTTGCTGCTTAAGGCAGGGAGAGCTGAGCTGTGGCATGTCTGACTCCTCTCACTCCTTTCATGGCACAGGGTGATTCTGGTGGCCCATTAGTCTGCAAGAAGAAGGCTCATGGCATTGTTTCTCATGCACTCAAAGAGAACCGCTTCCCTGAGGCATTCACCAGGATCTCCCACTTTGAGCCCTGGATCCGTGAGCAGCTGACAAGGTTTTCACTCCAAGATATTCCTGGCTCTCCATCCTCTGACTAAAATGGTCAGTGCCCCTTCACCACAATGCATCCAACACCTGCTGGTGCTCACAAGCTCCCAGGGGCAACTGAAGTGGACTCAGAGAAGCCCCTGTGGTGCAGCCACAGCCTTTGGCACTAAGGAGAGTCTGTGTGGCAAGCTGTAAATGCAAGTCCCAAGGACACCCAGCTTCCCATTGCTCCTTGCCTCCCACTGCTGCTCCTGCTCTGCTTCTGGCCATCAATAAAAGCATGTTCAAACTCACTTGTGTCTGCAGCATTCTTGGGAGCTGGATTCAAACCCTAAATGTGAGAATGAGGAGGTGACTGACATTGTGTCCTGGTCGCGGGGGTTGATTGGCACATGTGCCAGGAGTGCCTGCGCGCTGCCAGCAGGTCAAATCACAGTTCAGCCACTAGTTCGGCTCCTAAACCACCAGAGGCATTGAATAATTTGGACTCAACACTGAAGGATGAGTTCAAAGGAGAAAAGGAAGGACTCTCTGCTTGCTTCTATGAGCTGCTTTAGTTCTTTCCCGTGCAGAAGCGGTGTCGGGGTGGCGCTGCGTGGAATTGGCATTGTGGCACTGGAGTTGTTCTTTCCCGCAGCAGGAGCAGCGCCGAAGCGAGGCAGGGGACACAACACTCATGGGCACTGGCAGCGGCCACGGCCACGATCTCTCCCTTGGCAGGAGCCAGAGCTGCGCCCACGCCGTGATCTCTCCCAGGGCAGCTGATGCCACACTGCAGTAGACCCCATGCAGCTTAGGAGAGCTCCATGGAGGATTGAGACTTAACTGTAGGAACTGCTGAGTCATGAGGAGACAGCAAAATAAGCTCCTGTCTTTTCCTACCCCTTGCCCCATAGCTTATCTCTGTAACCTCATAGGTCACTTTTCCCTGACTCTTAGTATTGGACAAGTTTGGATCCCCCTATACCCTATAAAAAGGGGCTGGTTTAGCCCATTCGACAGAAGAAGAGCTGTCGCTGGAAGCCTTTGCAGACTCCCCAATAAACCATCGATGTGGAACCGCCAAGACCTCTCCTTCTCCTCTCTCGCATCTGCTTCTGCCTCAGCCAAAGGCGCCCTAGCAAGCAAGCAAAGAGCTGAAATCCTAAGACAGCTGAGAATCACCAAAGAGCTGACAATCACTAAGATTGCTAAGGGCAGCCTGTGGCGGCTGCGAGCTGACTGGGTATTCGGGCACTCTGTCTCCCAGACGGACTGAGTTATCCGAACTATCCCTCATAGCTCAGTGATAAGGCCAAGATCAGGGACTTATCACCATGTGGGTGTTCTTCATTCTCGCGGTGGAGAGTGGTGCTGGCTGCAAAGAGCTGCCCCATGCGGGTGCCGGCAGAGCGCGGGTGGAGCGCGGAATCCACGTGGCTCAAAGAGCAGGCAGTGGGAGAGTGCGCAAAAGAGAAAAACAGAGGCTTTAACGCAAGAGGGGATGGAATCCTGGGATGGGACTGTCTGGCAGGCTAGGAGGGGTCTGGGGGGACACATGTAAACATAGCCTGGAGCAGAAAAGTCACAGATCCTGGAGGTTTCACTGGCTGGGCTCATGGCCAAAGGTGGCTCATGGAAACAGGGGCTGAGTCCCTTCCAGGCTGTAACACTGACCCAGAGCTGCCAGGGAGGACTCAGAGAGGGCCCAGGCAGGGCTGCTCCCTTCTCATGGGGACACCCTGAGCCTGTTCCTCAGCTGAGCTCCAGCTGTGTCTCAGCCAGCCCTGCACCTGCCCAGAGCACCTGCTGGTCTGGACTGGGCCCACAGAATGACTCCCCAGCTGCACCTCAGACTTCCTCATCACCAGGGACTTCTCAGATCCCCTAGAACATCAGGGCTGAGGTCATGAGGCTCCCACTGGCCTTGTCCCATAACAACCCTGAGTGGCGGTTTCTTATTTCCCAAGGAAATCTCTGATGGCAGTTAGCCCCTCTGATAAAAAACAGGAACTTGGCCTGTCCCTTGCCAGCTCTCCCCATTGCCATCAGAGGACAGTGGGAAACGAAAAACAAAAAGAAAAAAATATCCTGGTGGAAGCATCCTGCATGCAGGGTCCCAGGGGCTCTCTCAAAACCTGTGTGATGGGATATGCACTCAAAAAACATCCCTTTCCTGTCCCTGTGTGCACTGTGGGTGCTCTGAACCAGCCCTGATCTCTCCATTTTTTGAGAAGATCGTGACAAAAAAGCAGAGAACGTGTCATCATGAGCCCCTCACCAACCACAGTTTGGGGGTTGTGAGAACAAAAGCAGCAAATGACACGTCTACAGGCAAGCTGAGGTTTCCTGTGTCAGCTCACCATGACATATATAGAGGTGCAGTACTGGCCATTCTGTACCTGTCTCCTGCCTGGCCACAGCCACTGCTACTGGTTTGGCTCTTCAGGACAGTGGTGGGAGATGCTGCTGCTCCTTCTGCTCACAAATGCTTTTGTCCTTCTGCCCTGGGCTGGGGCTGGTGAGTACACAGAGATGGGACTTAGGAACATGCAAGGGCACAGATGGACTCTGAGCAGTCAATCTCAGGCAAGGCTCCTGCCTCACCTACTCTCCTGGCTCTACTCTCCTGCTTTCCTCTCTCCTCTCCTCTCCCAGCTCAGCCTATGCCTGAAACCAGTGAGGCATTAGAGGCACTAGAGCTGTGCCCTTGATGGCATTTGAGTCATGCAGTGCCAGGGATGGTCAGACCCCAGACAGTGCTGCTTGTCTTTCTCTCCATTGTGCCCCAGCAATGCTTTGTACAGCCCCAGGAAGGAGAGTTGTTGGGATCACTGGCACCTGGCATTAGAGGATGAGCCTTTCCTTTCATGCAGTCCCAAACTTGACAGGAAACAGCAGCACATTAACATTGATGTTAACATTTCCCATCTCTCTTCCAGGAAGGATCATTGGTGGAAAGAAAGCTGTGGCCCACTCCAGACCCTACATGGCTTTTTTAGAAATTGAAACTGACTCACACCATATTAAGTGTGGAGGGTTCCTGATTCGCCCAGATGCAGTGCTCTCAGCAGCTCACTGTGTGGATGAAGAAGGGTAAGACTCCATTGTTCTTGCACAGGTGATTTTTTTCCAGTCTCACACAGTCCCAGAGTGCCTCAGCCCTGATCCAGGCTGAAACAGTACCCTGTGTCTCTTCAGGCAGAGCAGGCATCTCTGGAGCTGAGCTCCCCTCTGTGAGTGCAGGAATTGTCTGCCTGGTTGGGGCTGAGTGTCCTTGGGGACAGGAATGCTCACAGGGGTCTCCAGGGTCATGGTTCCTGCCATGGCTTAGAGCTGCTGCTGGAGAAGGGCTCCAGTGTGTCCCCTGCCCTGCTTCCCTTTGTGCTCAGCACGGGGCAGCTGCCAGCTGTGTCAGTGTGGGGTGAGGCATCCTCAGCTGGGCTCAGGAAGGAACCCAGGTGAGAGAGGACAACTTGCTGAGAGCTGCTCTGGGGAGGTTTCTCCAACACCACCTCCCTCCAGCCACCTGCCCTGGTGGCTGTTCCTGTCAATGCAGCTGGAATGTGTTGGTGTTTCCTGACAGGATAGAGAATGTCACTGTGATTCTGGGAGCCCACAATGTGAACAGACAAGAACCGAGCCAGCAGAAGATCCGTGTTGAACAATGGGTCATCCATCCTGAATATTCCCCTAAGCCCGTGAAAAATGACATCATGCTGCTGAAGGTATGGCCCAACAGATCCTTCCTGCCTGAGGGCTCTCCCCCTGCTCGCCTCCCCAAACTCTGAACTTGCTCCTCATCCTTTGCTGGCTCTAACCCCTTGTTCTCTCTGCCTGACAGCTGGAGCAAAATGCCATCATCAACAAGAATGTGAAGTTGATCTCCATTCCCAAGGAAAATGAAAGTGTGAGAGTAGGATCTGAATGTAATGTGCCTGGCTGGGGACAGACATCTGTGACAGGGCAGAGGAGCGATGTCTTGATGGAGGTGAAACTGAAGGTGCAAAAGGAGGAAATATGTAAGGAGTTTCTTCCTGACTACAAGCCTCAATCTATGATCTGTGTTGGTGATAAATACAGTAAAAAAGGAACTTACGAGGTAAGGGTTGTTTTGGGCTGCAAGCTTGGGAGGAGGTTGGGACTGGAAATTCAGCTTAGTTCCCAGGTGAAAGCCAAAGGAAACCAGAATGAACCAGGACCTTCAGAATGATGAGCTGAGGGTCCTCACAGAAGCTCTCAAGCTGATGTGCTCCCTGAATTGGGGTGCATTTTCCTAACTATCAGCAACATTTGCTTTTTTACATACTTGGGGATGTTTTACCCAGCCTAACCAGTGCTTTGGGGTGTAAATTCCTTGTGATATCCATGATCAGATGGGTTAGATATTTCCCCATGGCTAAAAAAAGGTCAATGTTCTTTTAGAGTTCTTGAATCTCAGAGAGCCTCCAGGCGTGAAGTGTTTCATGGGTGGGCTTAGAGGAGTAGTAAGGCAGCTACAAATGCTGAGAGCTGGTTCTGCTGGGAGGGAGGTGCTTGGAAGAGGAGGCTCTTCACCAGGAAGGAAGGAAGAGGAAACTTGCTGCTTAAGGCAGGGAGAGCTGAGCTGTGGCATGTCTGACCCCTCTCACTCCTTTCATGGCACAGGGTGATTCTGGTGGCCCATTAGTCTGCAAGAAGAAGGCTCATGGCATTGTTTCTTATGGATGTGGGTGCAACCTCTTCCCTGAGGCATTCACCAGGATCTCCCACTTTGAGCCCTGGATCCAAAAGGAGCTGAGGAGGTTTTCACTCCAAGATATTCCTGGCTCTCCATCCTCTGACTAAAATGCTCATTACCCCTTCTCCACAATGTATCCAACACATGCTGGTGCTCAGAAGCTCCCAGGGGCAGCTGGAGCAGAGTCAGAGAAGCCCCTGTGGTGCAGGCACAGGCTTTGGCACTAAGGAGAGTCTCCGTGGCAAGCTACAAGTGCAGCTCCCAAGGACACCCAGTTTCCCATCGCTCCTTTCCTCTCACTGCTTCTCCAGCTTTGCTTCTGGCCATCAATAAAAGCATGTTCAAAGTCAC